TCTGCACCTGGATCCCCATCCCACTGAGCCCCATTCCCCCAGACCCACCTTTCGACGCTTCGACTCCCCCCACCGCCCACGACCCCCCCTTGCTCGAGCCCCAAACACCTTCACCCCCCTGCATTACTGTTGCACCTAGAACCCCCCAACAAGCCCCTGTGCATCCAGATCCCCCCCACTCCCAGATCCCCCACAGAGTCGCCTGCACCCAGATTGCCCCACACAGAGCCCTCTCAACCCACACCTGGATCCCCCCACACCGAGTCCCTCCACACTTGGATCCTGCCTTGCCGAGCATGCCTGCCCACACCTGGTGCACCTGGCACGAAGGGGCAGGGCTCTGGGGTGTTTCTGGGGCAGGTCCGGTCCTTGCGCTGTGTCAGGGTTGGGTGCTGAGTCCATGTCCCGGGGCGGGGAGCTGCGCAGTGATCACCTCTGTGCAGCCAGTGCCCTGTGCTCTCCACTGCCATGCTGGAGCCTCCACATTTATTTGACAAATAAAATTTTGCAGAATTTTAAAATATTGTGCGCAGAATTATTAATTTTTTGGTGCAGAATGCCCTCAGGAGTAATTACAAGCTTTCATAAAAGACCGTACTTGATGCATTTCTATACACAATAAGGTATACCACCAGTTGATTCAATTGCTTGTTCTTTGGGGGCCTTGTTCTCCCCTTGAGGTGTCTGGACCCTGATTGTCACATGGGGGTAACCTGTTTCTTACCATGACACCGGCCCTGTAGCCAACATGTCACTGCCAGGGCTGCTTGGGAGCACAGGGTTATTCCCACCCAGAGTCAATGACTGTGATAGGAATGAGCCCCAATACAAATATCTCTGGGGAAATGTCAACACAAAAGGTTAAACCTTCTAATGCCCACACTGGGCCAGATTCATCCTTTGTGTAATTCCATTGACTGGTATCTCACCACACGGAGATTCAATGCTATTTCCTATAGGAAATATCGCCTTCCCTAATGTGTAAGGTGGCCTGTGACAGGTATGACAAAATCCTGGACAGACTTCACTGAATGAAGTTTAAGTATCTTAGGAGCTCACTGTGTAAAAAACGAACTGTTCGTGTACTGTTAGGGGAGTGTATGTAACTTCTTTCAAGGGGAAGACAGGACCCAGGCAAACAATGGGAACTGTTAGCTTCAAAGGACTGTTTGAAACAATGGACAAAGACAAGAATGAACTTTTAAGTATGTTTCCCAGGAAATTTCTAGGAGGAGGGTGATGCAAAAACTCTAGGTATACGAAAACTCAGCCTTTTGAAGCTTTGCAAGAGGGAACTTTTTTGGCTACTGGTCACTGGCTACATGAGGGTAGATCAAAGACCCCAAAAACGGTATAAAGAAGTAACTCATTGACACAGGAGTGGGTCAGTTCGGAGCTGAGGCTATGATGAACCGGTGACCACCGGGGAAAAAAACTTGTGTGGGGTTCAAAGGATGAAGCGCCAGCCAGAGCCTTTGGGATGGGGGGTGGGAGGGTGATCTCCGGTAAGCTGATCAGCATGCGTGTAGGTTCTTTTATTGTTTTTTAATGTTTTCTCTGTAATGATTTGTACCTTAAGGACTAAATGTGATTGTTAGAAAGCTCGGTGTGATAACTTACAACTGTGGGCAATTACAGTGTTCGTAGTCTCTGATGAGAAAGCAAAGGACTGGTGCTGGGCGTTTGGCTGTCTGCCTCGCTGTGGGATAGCGCCGTGTAAGCCACCTGGAAATACCTTAGTCAGGATGGAGAGAGACACGTCTCTGCCCAAGAGACTGCGTGCCCTTGCTGGACCATAGCGGGGGAATACAGGCGCAGAGGCCCTGAACTGTGATGTGACCCTCTGCTGTTATTTTGCAGGTGAATTCATGGTGCATGGGAGTCTCTTGGAGTTTCGCAAGATGATCAAACAAGCAACTGGGAAAAGTGCTCTACCGAATTATACCTCCTATGGATGCCACTGCGGTGTGGGAGGCAAAGGAATGCCTAAGGATGCAACTGATTGGTACAGTAGTTACTGATTACAGCAGTATTCTAAAAACGCAGGCACCACTGGTGAATTACGGTTCTACAATCCTTGCTCTAGATGCCAAATAACTTGAGCTTAATGAGTGTCAGCTGCATCCCAATAGGTAGGGCCTTACCAAATTCACGGCTGTGAAAAACACGTCCTGGACCATGAAATCTGGTCTTGTGGGCTTTTACCCTGACCTATACAGATTTCACAGGGGAGACCAGCACTTTTCAGATTGGGGGTCCTGACCCAAAAGTGGGTTGCAGGGCAGTCACAAGGTTATTTTAGGGGGGTTGTGGTAAATAATAAAAAAAATGGGGATATACCTATCTCATAGAACTGAAAGGTCATTGAGTCCAGCCCCCTGCCTTCACTAGCAGGACCAAGTACTGATTTTGCCCCAGATCCCTAAGTGGCCCTCTCAAGGATTGAACTCACAACTCTGGATTTAGCAGGCTAATGCTCAAACCACTGAGCTATCCCTGTGAAGGCAGAGCTGCTGCCAGCAGCAGCGCAGAAGTAAGGGTGGCAATGCCATACCATGCCGCCCTTCTGTGCTGCTGGTAGCAGTGGCTCTGCCTTCACAGCTGGTCTCCCAGCAGCCGCCGCTCTCCAGCTGCCCAGCTCTGAAGGCAGCACCGCCACCAGCAGCAGCGCAGAGTAAGGGTAGCAGTACCACAACCCTCCCTACAATAACCTTGTGACACCCCCCCCCCCAACTCCTTTTTGGGTCAGGATCCCTACAATTACAACACCGTGACATTTCAGATTTAAATAGCTGAAATCATGAAATTTACAATTTTTAAAATCCTATGACTGTGAAATTGACCAAAATGGACCGTGAATTTGGAGGGCCCCACCCATTGGCTTTGCAGAGTGAAACACGGGTACAGGAAACAGAAAGCAATAGCAGAAGGAGAAAGGGGAAAAGGTTTAAGCCAGAGAGAAAAGATGGGATCGAATTCATCCTTATTGTAACTCCACTGAAGTCAATTGAGTTACTTTACGGATGCATGTAGCCTGATACGTGCTCACATGAGTTTGGAAAGAAGTCTGAGGTCCAGATCCCCAGTTGAGATAAATGAAAGTAATTCCTTGGAGCTACACTGATCTACAGGAGCTACGGACCAGGCTCTGAGAAAGGAAGAACTGCAAAGGGACACAACGTCTGTTCCAGATGCCAGGAGATGCAGAAGAGAAGGCTGTCACACCAAGACCAGACAGAATGTGTGGAAAAACAGAAAGAAGGCCAGTTGAGGGAGCAAAGAAAGTACAGTAATAAGAAAAGCAAAGAACCCTGATATCAGAAAGAGCAAGTCCATGGAAGGTTTAGATTGAGAGGAGAATAAAATCCATTGACGTCAGTGAGACTATTTGTATGAGTACGTTTTGCTAACTGCTTAATTCTTCTTAGCCGTGAAGCTGCAGGATCTGCTTGTTTTATGTAACTTAGAAACCGATGGAGGGGAGGGGTGCTTGGGGAGCGGGTTGTTTTGTTTTACACAGCATAGAATGTGGAATCGGCTTCAACCTGATTCTCCCTACAGGTGTTGCCTGCATCACGACTGCTGTTACTCACAGTTGATGGCTCAAAAATGTCATGTCAAAACTGAGAGATACCATTACACTTACAGGACAGGAGTCATAACGTGCGGTGAGTAGTCAGGCCCATAGAAAGGTAGGCACTTCCTTTGTCTCTGCTCCCAGATCAGCTCATGGCTTTGCTGTGCCACTTTCTTAAAATCTGTGGGGTCAGAACCTCAGCTGGAGAGCCTTGAGCCTAGGCCAACTTCCCCCAGCTGGGCATCGGACACACAGTCCGACTCCAGACAGCCAAAGGTAAATAAGTTTGAGTAGCAGCCGTGTTAGTCTGTATCCGCAAAAAGAACAGGAGTACTTGTGGCACCTCAGAGACTAACAAATTTATTTGAGCATAAGCTTTCGTGGGCTACAGCCCACTTCTTCGGATGCATAGAATGGAACATATAGTAAGGAGTTATATATATACACACACAGAGAACATGGGCTATTATCAGCAGGAGAAAAAAAAACTTTTGTAGTGATAATGACAAGAAGGTGACAAAAACAGACTCCAAAGAGAAACTGCTCAACTTGAATTCATATGCAAACTAGATACCATCAATTTAGGCTTGAATAGAGACTGGGAATGGCTGAGCCATTACACACATTGAATCTATTTCCCCATGTTAAGTATCCTCACACCTTCTTGTCATTATCACTACAAATGTTTTTTTCTCCTGCTGATAATTGCTCATCTTAATTAATTAGCCTCTTAGAGTTGGTAGGGCAACTCCCACCTTTTCATGTTCTCTGTATGTGTGTGTATATATATCTCCTTACTCTATGTTCCATTCTATGCATCCGAAGAAGTGGGCTGTAGTCCACGAAAGCTTATGCTCTAATAAATTTGTTAGTCTCTAAGGTGCCACAAGTCCTCCTGTTCTTTTTAAAGGTAAATAAGAGGAAAATAAAATGGAAGTGATAGAAGTCATCTATACTGGGATTTCAGACCAGCAGAGAGAAAGAGAGAGAGACACATTCATCTTGATGGTGTATGCAACCCCCTTTATCTGCATTCTGCAAACATCTGCCCGTGCTGAAGTGTTGTTCACACGGTTGTCTGCCGAAAAGGAAAGTGCCACAATTACTCATGTGAGCATGCACAGGTGCCAGGCTTTTGCACAAACATTCACAATGGAAGTGTTCGCAAGCCATCTTGAGAGCTTTCTGTAGCTTTGGGACTCTCCCAGTCAGGGAGCAGAAACAACACCAGGTGATTTTGATGGCCAGTGAGAATAGAGAATTAGGAACAGTGACGACAGGCACCAAAAGTTACACCAAATAGTTCGGTGGTAGCAGCCCCTGGGTTGGAATATGTTTTGAAGGAACAACTCGTCAGCTACTCTGGAACCATGAACCTCTAAAGCAGAAATGGTGCTTGTGGAGGAAAGGGGGTGGGGTGGAGATGGGATTTTCAAAAGCACTCAGCGTTGGCCTACAACTCTGCCTTCACTGAAGCCAATGGGAGCTTTGCCATTGGTCTGGATGGGAGCAGAATTAGCCCAATGCTAAACACTTTGGGAAATAACGAATCAGTGGCTGCCTGCAAATAATTCACCCAGCTCTGATGCTCCTGGAGTTGGCGCCCCACTCCCTAAGCAATGTGCTTCTTCCCAGGTCCAGACAGCTGGTGTAAAAGGAGCATCTGCGAGTGTGACAAGACCGCTGCGTTGTGCATGAAGCGCAACTTACAGAGCTACAACAAGAAGTATCGCTTCTACTCCAACATAAAGTGCATAGGGAGAAAGCCAAAGTGTTAAGCAAAGGCTCGTTGCAATGCTTATTAAGCCATCCCCTATTCTCATGCATTCAGCATTTCCACACTGTTAAGCAAGCAGGTGCTTGACCTGGGATTGGGAATTGCTTCCTATCCAGTGGTTCTTGGCTGCTCTCTCCCTAGGCTACTGTCAGGCAGAATCCAAGGAACTGCTCTTAAATAAGAGACCTGATCTGCCTTAACTGCATCACGATATACAGGATCGGAAGAGAAATTATTTCGAGGGAGAAAGCAACACGTGTCACGTTTTTGATAAAAAATACTAGGGAGGACTGGCACGTGTCCTCTGCCATGGTTAAGTTATGATGGGAGCCAGGGGGATTCTCTCCATTCTCTTCAATAGTCTTTGGATTGGGCCTACATGCATAAACGAACATAGAGAAATGTCAATGTCCTTTGCTCTTGCTTCAGTGCAGATTCACTTTCTGCTGCTTCTGAATAAAACGGAAGAGTATAACCATGTTCTTCTCTGCGTTGTGACTCAGAGGCATTCGACCGAACCAAACTAGTCACCCTTCGGCGTGAGTGAGAAAGCTGGAAGCAGCTACCCCTCTAGTGTCATTGCCAGTTAAAATATCTGTGAGGCCCCGACAGTTCTGAGCCACAACGTTTAGATCTTGATTCAAATTTCACTCCCAAAATTCGTGATCCAGGGGTTTGGTTCAGTCCACTTTAGGTAATAGGGTTCACTGTAGAGTTCTGATTCAGATCCCACATCTGGGGTGGATCCGATCTAGGTCTTTGGTTTAGGCCCATTTCTAACACTTTCTCTTTGTTTAGGGTGAAAAAAATCCCACCCATCCACAGCTTCTGGCTAAGGCCCAGAACCTGCAAGTCAATATGCACCGAGCTCCATGCTGCCCGCTGGGCTTAGCTTAGCTACGTCTCTGGGCCCAGCACCGTAGTATCTGAGCTCCTCATCATCTTTAATGGATTCATCCTCACGATCCCCCCTGGTGAGCTTAAAGCCACTATCCCTATTTTACAGATGAGAAACAGACACCGAGAGCCTAAGGCCCCAATCCACACAGGTATTTGGGTGCCTAACCCCCCTAGGCATCCGGGCACCTATCTTCCATCTAAGCCATTCATACATGGAAAACAGGCATTCCTCCACCTAAGTTGCATGCAGGGCCCAATCCGATAGGCATGCTCAGAGGCCACCTACCAGCGTGAGGCCCACTCAAAATCTGGTTGCAGAAGGAGGTGGTGGTGTCTGTCTCCAGTGGTTAATGCACTTACCTGGGATGGGGCAGACCCAGGTTCAATTTCTCTCCCTCTCCGCCAGCAGGGGAGAGAGGATCTGAACAGGGATCTCCCTTTTCACCAGAGAGCTCTCAAACCACAGGTGCCTGATTACTCTGGGCCCTGGGGGTGCTCAACCCCCCACCCCGCCTCCCAAGCCCCCACCCCCGTCCTGTCTCTTCCCACCTAGTTCCCCCACTCCCTCAAGCACGCCCCATCCCTGCTTCTCCCCCTCCCCACCAGCACCTCCTGCACGCCGCAGAGCAGCTAATCGTGGTGGGCGGGAGGCGCTGGGAGGGAGGGGGAGGAATTGATCAGCAGGGCCCGCCAGTGCATCGGAGGCACTGGTGGGGAGGGGGGCGCTGGCTGCCGGTGGGTGCTAAGCACCCACTAATTTTTTCCCCTGGTGCACCCATGGAGTCGGTGCCAATGGCTCTAACCACTGAGCTGTCTCTGGCCTGATGATGACTTAAGTATTATACACAGCGGAACGGTCATTGGGCCAAAAAAAGAAGAGTGTGAGAATGAGGCTGTAGTCCAGGGGCTAGGATGCCCAGCTGCTCCAATCACTCTTCCATTATTTCTCCATAGTGGAGCAGCTCCAACAAGAGAGGGGGAGGGAGCCCCACACCAGAATATCCCCTGGCTCAGTGGTGGAGCACTCTGATGACAGGTGGGAGACCCGTGTCAGAGAGGGAGGAACTGAACCTAGGTCTCTCACATCCTCTGTGAGTGCTCTAACCATCAGGCTAAGGTGGGCACCACCACCACCACCTCCTCCTCCTCCAGCTGTTTTATGTGGAGCGAGGCAGGCTCCTAACTCATTCCCGCAAGAAGCAGCTTTGGCACCTACCTGCCTGACTCCAGGAGCCAGGTTGCTGTTCGTGGATCGCTAGCAGAGATAGGCCCCCTCCTCGCAGCTTGGACTGAGGCAGCTCCTGCCAAGAGAGGGGCAGGGCTTCAGACACGTCCCTGTCGTCTGCACCTCTCCTTGGCATGCTGGCTTTCACGGATCCCATTCTGAGGTGCCTATTTCTCCCCACTCGTTGTCTAGGACCCTGGGCACCTCACTCAGGCTTGGTGGCTCCTGTGAGTTTGTAGGCACTGCAATGCTGAGCACTGCAACGCCACCGTCCCTTTGTGGAGCTGGTGAGGTGCCCAATATCATATAAGAACTCTGGGATGGAACAGGGCACTAAACCCAGGTGTCCCAGCCTGACTGGCCCCTTTAAGAGGGAGTGGAGGTCCAGCGCGCCTGCTGCCCACCTGAGCTTAAGGGAAGGTACCTGGGTCTTATAAAGAGGACAACAGCAGCAGGGGCAGGAAGGCAACCCACTGACGTCTCTCAGCCCAAGGGGGTCAGGGTGCTGGTAGAGGTTGCAGTGAGCAGGAGACCCTGTGTAACCAGGAGAGGGGCTTTGCCTCCTGACCTCTCTGAGCCGCAGCTAAAGAAGGCTGAGCTCCAGTGGGGACAGGGCTGGGAGTGGCTGCTTGGTGAAAAGCCGGCTGGAACGGAAGAGCTCCAGGAGTGGCTGAAGATGCCGGAGCTGAGTGTGAGCTTGTGTGTTGTGGTGATGATGGACTTTATTTGGGGTTGCCTTGAACTGTTTTTTGTTATTAAACCAGCCTTGGACAGGGGTGGTGTTGGCCATGAGAGAGCCTCTGCAGAGTTTATTAAAGAGCCTTGAGAGAAGGGGAAACTGAAGCAGGCCTCTGCAAAGCCATGCGTGACCAGGAGTGGGTGCTACAGGGCCAGCACACCCTCTTACACCAGCTCTCGCAAGTCCTAGGCCAGTGCCCTAATCACTTTTCATAAAGCTGAGCTGTTTTTCTCTCTCTTGCTGCCTCTTCTCTCAGGGCTCTGGGAAATCTCTTACCCTCCCTGTATTTCTTTCCCTTTATTCTCTGCCAGCCCCCTTAACTCCATCCCCCCATTTCTTGCCAATGAATCCATCCTCTTTATGATTCCTAGGGTCTGATTTTTCCAGGGCCTCTCTTGTGATCAGGCCTAGGGGAAGCATCGGAAGAGTCCTCGCTTGCTGCTGGCTCTCTCGATTCCTCTCAATGGCAGAGAATTTTTGCTGGAAGCTGAGTCTGCAAAAGGGACATTTTCTCCACAATGGATCATTATCCACCGCCCCAAATGGCTCGTTAGCGTCTCAATGAAGTTTGTTCTAAAAACCAGCTGACGGGGGAACATGTTTATAGTTTAAAAGACTATCTCGATCGTCTACAAGGCTGGAAAGTTGCAGTTCAGGTTCAACTAAACCATAACGCTGCCCCCATCTCCCAGCCCACCAGCTGTGTAAGGGGGATGCAGGTAGGTATACTACCAACAGGAGCACAGAACCCCTCCAATCACTTCACGTGGCCGATTGGCTGGAAATGATTGGTTAATTTTCCCTGGGTTCCGTCACCCTCCTGACTTGAAGGAGTTCAGTGAAGTCCGGCACAAGGGAGTTGTACATTGCATCCTTCCTGGATCGCAGGGAGGCTTCGCCCCCCAGGGAGTGTAGGTGGTGTAACTAGCTCTCCTGTCCCTGCCTGGGTGTTTATGCCGCAAGGACAGCTTTAGATAACAACAGGGGCACCACAGGACCCGCGTTGGGAAGAGGCTACTAAGGGGATGCTCTCAAATGATCACATCCCAGTCCAAAAGGCACCACCCTCTTTTTACCCTTTAACCATCACAAGAGAAGTCCTGGGCACTCTGTCATGTCACCTTAACCAGGTTCTCTTCCTTGGAGGCCCTTCCTCCATAGTTTCCATGTTCAGCATGCCTGGTGGGGACAAGAGAAGTGCTCCCCCTCTCGGCGCAATGAAAGTGCGAACACTTGGACCTAGTCTAGTTTTGCCTTCAAACCCAAGCATTGTTCACAAGCACTGAAGCAAAGAGCCCAGTGGGACAAAAAGGGTAGGAGTGACTGGGTTCTCCACCTGGCAACATATCCTGCAGTAGGGTGACACATGCTTACGCCCTTATTATCATTGAATTATTGAAAGCCACCAGCGTGCTCCGCAGTGCACAGACGTAAAGGCCGACGTCATCTCTCTTTCATGGAGCTTATGTTCTATACTAGACAATGCGGCTCACGCACCCAGTGCATAAGTGCAGGGCTAAAGGTTAAGCAGTGTTTTGTTGTTGTTTTTCAATGATAACTGCTCAATAGCTGATGCAGAAACATCTGGATCTGATCCAAACAGCTCAAATCATCTACAGCCTCCACTCCTCCGGGAACCTTCAGCCAGACAGTTCTGCCCAGTCCATGAACCCAGATCCAGCGCTCACTGCCATCAATGGGATTTTAGCAGGTGAATTTAATGGCACTAGGAATTGTCCCGAAGTGCATTAAAAGTAGATTATTTCCATCCAGTTACTACAACAACCCCTTCGCCTCAGTTTCAAGCATTGTTGAGACTCGCTGGAACAGAGCGACCTGTGGAACTCAATATGAAGGCACTGCTAATCCCTCGCAGCTCAAACCTGGAGTGTGATGGAGGTAAATCGGGACTCAAGGGACAGGGGACAGGTGATTGTTCCAGAGCTTGCAGATGTTGGCACCTACATACTGACTTGAACTACTGTGACTGTCTCAATTCCTCTGACCACAGGTTGTCTGCATGCACTTACTGTCTGTGCACCTGGGCTGCCTATTGTCAATTAAGATAGGAATCTCCACCCCGGTCTGTGGGCTCCGTTGGTGTGGGCCCTTTGAGTTCGTGCATTCAGCGGAACAAATCAGCGGTTGTAATAGCTGTGGGAACGGACGATGAAAACACTCTCCGAATTTGGGCACGAAAAGGTTGACAATAACTCCATGTCAAGGTGCAGCCTCTCGTATGATTCGTTAGTTTGGGATTACTGTAACACCTAGGAGCCCTAGTCACGGATCAAGGCTCAGCTCCTTAAGGGTATTTCGACATCTACCTCCCACTGAAATCAATGAGCGTCAGGAACCTAAATATCTCTGAGGCGCTAGGCCCAGGACCGTCCTGCGCTAGGTGCTGTACAAACTGATTTGGAATAATTGTAGTGGGGAGGGTATTTTTGCTTCGCATCTTGGCCTATGGTTGTAGCACCACCACCATTTATCTGTGGTTAAACATAAACCTGCAGTCCTCACGCAGACCAAACTTCCATTGGGTAGCCATAGAATCATAGAACTGGAAGGGACCTCGAGAGGTCATTTAGTCCAGTCCCCTGCACTCATGGCA